TACTTTCCTTCCCTCTTTCCGTTTTTGAGCAGCATTTGGATAGAGCCCTATCCTGGCACTGACGAGAGGATTTTAAGTTAAGTGAATTAACGTATGTGGAAAAAGCCCTGCGGACGGGGCCTGGAACTTCAGGAGTGGTTGCCACCCGGTGTATTTTCCGTAATTTACTTTAAATACTTCAGCATAGTCCATGTGACATGTGAGTTTCAGACTCTGAACTGCACACATGGAGTGGCTGGCTGTCCCACTGGTTAGAGCCTCAGCGCCACCACACACTCCCTGGGGAACCTGTGGAAGGAATTTAACCCTTTGTGCCTCAGGTTACCATCTCCACAGGGGCGATAATAATAGTCCCTAACCCATGGGATTGTTGCAAGGCTTAAATATGTCGATATTTGTAAAGAGTTTAGCGCAGAGCTGAGCACATGGTAAGTGCCCGACGAGTATTTATTTAAAAATACAATTTGAGAAACCCTAATTGGGAGTTCACCTCCAGACGAGGTAATTAATATCTGAAAATGAATCAGAGGCTCAGTCTGGAGGAGGGTACCTTTAGGCATCGGCTGTCCTGATCTCACCAGAGGGGCTATTAATTACCATGGTGAATGACAGAAATGATTTTTCATTGAAGGAATGACAAGATATGTGGAGCACAGGTAGTCCTGCCCTGGAATTAATAGAGAAATAGCCTGCAGCAAGTCCAGTAACCACCCTAAGCTAGCGTGGTTTAGGATTCCTAATAATCCCGTGTGTGTGCAAGCACGTGACAGGTTTTGTGGCCTGTCTCTGACTCGTCTCTCACTCTTCTGACGGCACCTGTCGTGCAAGGTGCTGTTCGGGTGCCTAGAGGACAGGCCTCACTGAGAAGACAGATGGGCTTACGCAGCGGTGTTTCTGTCCGCTTGTTCACCCACGTGTCTCTCTAGGAACAGACCCAGTCTGTGACTTTCTTTTTGTTTATTTCTTTTTTTTATATATCTTTATTGATTTCAGAGAGAGGAAGGGAGAGGGAGAGAGAGAGAGAAACATCAGTGATGAGAGAGTCATTGATCAGATGCCTCCCGCACGCCCCCAACTGGGGATCGAGCCTGCAACCCGGGCATGGGCCCTGACCGGGAATCGAACCACGATCACCTGGATCCTAGGCCGATGCTCAATCACTGAGCCACGCCGGCTGGGCTGTGACTTTCTCTTTGACATACTCCCTGCTACCACGGCCACTGACCGGAGCTCAACTTGCCACTGACATCTTCCAAAAATAACCCCAAATGGTGAATGACCAAATCGGCTTAGGTCTCAGCTTTCAACAGGCTCAATAAAAATGCCAGTAGAAACATAATATTTTTCTCTCTCAAGGAATTTACAATCCAAACATGGTGACAAGTCAAATACAGAGTTAAAAGCAAAGTAAGATGTAAAAACTATCTTTTTCATGCATCCATTTAATAGTATCTGTTGAACACTCTGTGTGCACCGTGGACTGGGAGGGGCTGTGGGGCATGAGGATGGATCAGTCCGGATTCTTACAAGGAGCTAACCCCGACATTGATTAAATCAAGTGCAAAGTAACTCAGGTTGTAAGTACTCAAGAGCTTACCTATGGCCAGCAGTAGGTCCTCAAAATGCCCAGAGAGTTCTCCTTTTATGCTCTCCTCAATGTCCTTCTGGCTAAAGTTTCTGTATTCATCAAATGCTAAAAGGCAGCACCACAAAAACAGTGAGAGCATCCCCGCTGACCACACACGAATATATTCCAGTTTCTGACTTGATATGCAGCAAATCAAGTGGCGAGCTCAAAAACCCCTTCTTTAAATCATCAAAATTTAAACATGAAAGTCTTTGGTTTTTCATATCTTTTTTTGAAAAAATCATCTCCAATAAAACCTGAACTTCATAGGCAATTTTCCTCAATGATCTCCCCCCGCCTTCCCAGGCTGTTAGCATTTAAAATAGCCTAAAAGGTTAAATAATAAATAATATATCTAGTAAGATGGGCTGTTTTTAAATTATAGCAGCACCTGGGCCATTATCAATTATGTTTTATCTGCTAACACAATCTTCAGTATGAAGACTTCTTATTGCTGAGCAGATCCTTCCCTCAGGGGGCATGGCCTACTTTATATTTACCTGCAGGCACTCGAATTTCTTGATCAGTTTTTGCCCCAAAGCAAAACCTGTACATACATCACTAAGTATGTGGACACATTTTGCAAGCCAAGTAAAATTTTTTCCAAAGTAAACTTTGAAAAAAGAAATTTTGGAGAGAGATCTAGGATTTTTTTAATTTTTCAAACCAAGACATTAAAAATGCAATCATGATATACTATTACCATTATTTTATAAATGATATTCTAATGCCAAACTTAAGGAAGGGCAACCCGATGATGAAAAAGCCCCGGTAACATCTTCAGGTTTCCTCCTTTTCCCGTGAGCTCGGCCGGCGCTTGTCGTGCGCTGTGGCTGTGCTCCTGACGTGCACCTGGAAGCCACAGCCAGACGCTCGCGGGAACGGAGCTCTGGGCGTCTGGGTGCTGTTGCTTCCAGAACGGTCGGGGAGATGCACGACTGAGGGGGTGGGTGCTCAGCAGTTACACTTAATAGCTGGTGTGACAAGGAGAGCACCGCCCCTTTCACCTGCCAATTTACCTTCCTATCAGAAAGCTGAAGGTTGGCGGGTTAGCCCAAGCGAACGCATCGACAGAGACACCGCAGCGCCTGGCTTCTCTGGAAAGCGGCCAACCAGGGAAGAGCTGGGCGGGAGCAATGCAGCCACGTCCCTCCGTCTCTCCTCTCTGCTCTCACCCCAGAGGGCTGCCCCTTCTCCCCCCCCCCC